CATAGTTCAGAATAGCTATAATTGTACCAGATGGTTGCATTCAGTTAATTTGGATTAGACTGTAATACAAACCGTTCAGTTTGTCAACAATAAAACTGACTGAAATGAGAGAAAGACTGAGTGTGAGACTTTGTTATTAGATAAAATGAATACTGATAAAGTTTACCTTTATGTACAGAATCTGAATATCACAAAATATTTTAAAAAATTGCAATAATATCGTATCGTGAGTTAAGTATTGTGATAATATTGTATCGTGAGTTAAGTATTGTGATAATATTGTATCGTGGGATGTATGGTGATTCCCACCTCTAAAAAACACTGATGCACTCACTAACAGCTACTTTGGTCACAAGCACCATTCACAAATACACAGAATGAGCATGAAAATGAAGCTTACACCACGGCCAAGTTTCTTACTTCTAAATTCTGATTTCAGCATAAACTCTAATCACCTGTCTAATCTCATCTAATCCAATCCAGTCATCTGCTCAAAAAACTCAACTGTGAACACAGTGCTTTAGTTCATTACTTAAATATCATGTCTTCTATTAAAACAGGATCGATTCTGCTGTAGTTTGTTACCAGAGAACTTAAGCACCGTGCTGATTTGAGTGGCGTGTTGTGAACACATTCTTACAGTGACAGCAGGAATCCGGAGGTTGGCTCCTAGCATGTTGTTAAGTTGGGGGAAGGTGCTCCAGGCGACATATTCTCCCCTAGTACTGGTTGCTGCAACAAGCAGAGTCTGATACTGGAATCTCACAACTGGCTGTTCCTCATAAGTGCTCCTTTTTATCCAAAAACCTAAAATTAAAAACAAGTTTGAGAACAAGGAGCATGTATTTGTACCACTCAAACTGTTCAGTTTTCTACAACTACTTACTTGGTGTAATTACAGACATATGCAAAATAAATCAGACTAGCACCCATTTGAAATAAATAAATAAATAAATGAATTGCTGGACCACTCCTTGGAGGTCAAGAGACTGGAGTTGAGATTTTTGTGTGGGGAAATCCCAGTAAATTCCGGTAAATCAGCAGTTTCTGAAAGACCCAAAACAGCTGGTCTGGCTCCAACAACCATGCTGTATTCAAAGTCAGTGAAAATAATACTAAAATACATTTCTTAAATTATCCTCATTTAGAAAACAGAAGCAGCTTGATGATGTCACTGAAGGCTTCTGTTTTCAACTCTGTTGTCATTTTACACATGGACACCACCAACCACTTGTTTATCAGTAAACATGAAAATAAGTACTGCCAATCAAACAACCACGTACAATGCTTTCTATGTGTTTTCTGTTTAAAGCAGACATGAGACATTAAGCGTTTTAACATGTTTCACAGTCATACGAGAGCAATAAGAGAAACAGGGAGCCTGTGATTCCTGACAGAGATAAATGAAGTCTGATAGTGCAAAATGAATCTTAATAGGTGTATAAAAGCTTCAATCGGGAGTTTTATAAATGTAATTTAAAACTTCATGGCTTGTCCCATGCTTTGATACCTAACAGCCTTGGGAGAATAGAGGAAGTGCCACTGGATTTTGCCTTACCAGCAAAATCTATCTATGAAAATTCCATGGCGTGGCGCAACCCGGGTGTTTTTCCATGAGTGACGTGCAAACAAATATTTTGCTTCTATTAGCGTGGCATGTGTGGCTGTTAAAGGGTGTAGTTTTTAGAGCGCATGTAGAGTTTCTGGACCGTAAATGTACCTTGGCTCCTGTAAGCAACCAGCAGAGGCGGGATGTAGGTGAGGCACAGAACCACAACCAGGAACAGCGTGGCTTTCGTGCACACGCTCGTTTTGTACCGAATCAAAGCCGGGTGAGAGTACACCTCATAGAAAGCCATAAGTGTGCTGGAGGTATAAACAGCTCAGTCTTCCAGATAGCAAAGATGCTAAACCGACGGAAAGCCCTCGGAGGATCAGCGTGGGCAAATCGACAATAAAATGCTAAGCAACCACAAATTATCCCTTAGTCATCTAACCGCTTCCGTAATGAAGTGAGTCTAGTAGGGCACTGGTCAAAAACACGGTGAATTAACATGCTATTTATGTTAGCACCAAGTACCGCGCCATGTTCCTTCCTAGCTTAGCGTCTGGCGGTTACCATGGCTGCCACTGCCAGTGTTCGCGTTTGTGCTGCATTCACGCGATACCAGCACGGTGAGGAGCACCCTTAGCAGGGGTCACACACACACACACACACACACACACAAAACGTGTACAGAAGCAGAAACGCATTACAGGCAGGGATTCTATATTTTTTGTGGTTATTGTGCATTTATGTCTTGTAATTTTGACTTTTGAATAATTTCATCACCGTTTTCATCAGTTTGCTTCGCTTTGCGGCCCTCTTTGTGTCTGTTTCAAGTTGTTTGCGGGGTTTTTTTTTTCGTTTTTTTTGGGGTTTGGGGGGTCTCTGGTTATTTTTTAGTTTCTCTTTGAGGCGGTTTTGTGTCTCTTACTTTGTGTCTTGGTCGTTTTGCATCTCGTCAATTTGCACCCGTTTCAGGCCACTTCCTGTATTTGCCTATGTTTTCAGTTGGGTATGTCTGCAAACACGTGTCTGTTGGGTTTTTTCTATCACTTTCTGTTCATTGTGCATTTTCCCTTTACATGCCAATCTAAATATTCTTTATTTTTCACTATGCAGTCACATAGTAGTGGTAATTCTGTGTGGTAGTTTTCATCTTAAAATAAGACATTAATTGCTACATAATATATAATTGTACACAATAGAAAATAAATCATCATTAAAGATAATTTTGTGTTTGTTATTATTATTATTATTATGAATGGTTGGATGGGTTCATTATGCATTAACACCGATGTCAAATTCATTTTACATTGTGGCCCACATGCAGACTTGATCTTAAGTGGGCCAGATGAGTGAAACTGTGCTTATTGTCATTGACCAGAGGTTTAACTGCACATTTACAGTCCAAATCGTTTTTTCTACATAATAACGTTTTTCTACTGTAGTTAGTGAAAAAGTAACACCAGCCTTAATGATTCTGGGCTTATATTGTAAAAGAAAAAAAAATACATGTGTAAAATTAGAGAAACAATTCTGCTATCTCATTGCCCAGACTGTTCTGTAATTATATAACAGAAAGTTTTAGTTGTTAATTTTTTATTTTATTTTTTGTCTGTGGACTTTTTGCAAATCAATAAATTGCTCTAGTAGAGCATCATTTAATTGCTTATTTGTTACTTAATTACTTTGTTATGAATGGCTATGAGGTGGGAAAATCTGTAAAAGGTATGAAAATACAGTTAAAAGTCCAATATTTGTCATCTTTCACATTTTCCAAAACCCCCCAATGTGCCTGATTACACTCACTTTGCCCGGCCGAAGATGGCCCCCGGACCTTATGGTTGACACCCTTGCATTCGTAGCTGGACTGAGAGCACTTGAAGGCAGCACCAAAACCATCAGCACCTCCCCTGTGTCAGACAGTGACGTCACCTCCCTGATAGACGGACAGCTGAAAGCTCCTGGCTCAGCGGGGTTGTTGACGTTTTGTTTTGACCGCTTTTGTCTGGATTTTTGGACATTATCCGCAGATTCAGAAGCCCGCCTTTCGACCCTGCCGTCACGCGTCAGTGCGGGGATCCAGCAAAGATGAAATGGATGTTTAAAGAGGACCATTCCCTCGGTAAAGGGGTTTGGATTGTTATGAAACGAGAGATCTTGTCATGTCACGCACCCTCCGTTCTGTCTTTTTCTCCGCATCCATTGTTGCCATCTCATCCCATATAGGTGTAGAAATGTATTGCTTGCCTCAGCATATAAATCCATGATGGCTGATGCTGCATGGCTAGCAACTAATGCTAAGATTATTCTTGCAAGTGTTATGACCGCTGTCAAAATCCGGCTCACCTTTCATATCCCTGATGCATCCAATCAATCCTACCCTGAAATGTGTTTTTCCACTGCATGCATGTTCTTAACCAAAATGCATTTAAAAATCCCACAATTTAATGTTGCTTTGCCTATATGTAATCACTACTTAAAACCCTGTGGTAATAACATGATTAAGGGCTGTCAGGGACTGTTGTGGCAAATTCGGCTGTATGCAGTAGGGCTACAACTTTTTGTGTTGGTTCATGGTGCTGGGTAACCCCCTCCAGGGTCTATTTAACTAGGCCTTATAACTTAAATGGGTACTGAAGAGGGCTTCCTCAGTGATTCAGAGCTGGTAACACCTAACACAAACAGTGTAAGTGTTATTATGTTTATTAATAATGTGCCAGAATTTGGAACTGAGTTTGGTGTAAAGTTCTCTCCAAATTTAGATTGCTGGAACGGCTTTGCTCCTCAGCCTTTGTCTCCATACTCTCTTCAGATAATCTCGAAGTTCCTTTTTAAAGAAACACACAGCAAAAGTAGGCCTCTTAACTGGGCTAATGAAAGTGTGCACCTAAATGAAGCACACATCTTCTCACCCATCACCTCATCCTCTCTGACCTCTGTTCATTGTTTTCCCTGCTGCATGCAGTCTTTCCTCCAATAGATGCTCTTTCCTCCTCCTGATATAATAATCACTTAATAAAAGCTGCTGATGTGACTTACTACTGATCTGTGACAGTAATGCCTTTAACACTTTAACACACATGATCACACTGTGAGTTGATGTTAGAAGGCATCCGCCGCTCTGTCTGCGTAAACTGCAGTCAACCTTAATGCTGTGCTTGAATGTGCATTTGAGCCGATATATCTGACTAGCCTTGGCTTGAAAGGCCAGAGGAATCCCAAGAGGCCTCGCTCAGCCCTTTAATCTCTGACTTCCTGTTTGTTTCCTGTCTCTCCTTCAGAGCACCGATGTGTGGAGTCAGCCAAAATACGCAACAAATATCCTGACAGAGTACCGGTGAGTTGTGGGGGAGGGCAGTTACCCAAAACCTGCTTAATTCACATCAGGATTAGGTAAATGTGCAGTCCTCTGACATTGTTTAAATAAGCAGAGCTGTAGGCCCGTAGCAAGAAGGATGGTCCTTCTCATCTTTAGCCCGAAGGATGCAACATTCACGGTTTCCATAAAGAATTTGAGATTCTGATTGACCAGACCACCATCCATTTTCTTCTGCCTATCCAGGCAGAAAATGACCACAGGACAACTTTCCATTTCTCCTCAGTCTGTCTTAATTAAGTTAGGCCCCAGCAGAGTGCCTAGGTCTGTTCAGTTTGTCTATTTTTTCTATTGACCATGGTTTACTAATGTATTCCTAAGCCCATGCAGTGATTACTATAGAGAGCCATGTCTGTCTCTAATGCAGTAGAACATGAGGACCCCAGAGAGCAAAATTTAAAATTAGTTTTCAGCCTTGTCCCTTGTGCAGTGGGATTTTCCCTCCTTTGTCTGAATCCTTTAATGATGTTGTGCATCACAGACGCAGCGACAGCCTGGGCACACTCTACCTCTCGCACTATGGCAGCTGGGATGGGCCACAGTTATGGCTCTGTGACGTTTGGTGTTGCATTCAGCCAGTGAAAATTGCAAATGCAATAAAAACATGCGTGGATAGAAGATGGACTATCAGCCATGGATTGTGACGCACCTTAAAACCTTACAAGTACCTTGCTGCTGAGGGCGTACTGGTGACACATGTTCTTACAACTTCACTCACAGACATTATTGTAAGGCTAAGCTTAATGGTCAGCCAGAAGCTTTCAGATAGGGAGTGCAGGTGTTTGCTACAGTATTGGGAGATTTGTGGCCCACACACAGCATGACCACAGTGTGTAAGAATGCATTTGTCTGTTAATGTGTGCACTCCAGGTGATAGTGGAGAAGGTTTCTGGCTCTCAGATAGTGGACATAGATAAGAGGAAGTACCTGGTGCCCTCTGACATCACTGTGGCCCAGTTCATGTGGATCATCAGGAAACGCATCCAGCTGCCTTCAGAGAAAGCCATCTTCCTCTTCGTTGACAAAACGGTCCCCCAGTCCAGGTGAGAGTGCGCTGCGTTCTGCAGCAAGTCAGTAGATTTAAAGGTCAAACTCATGAGTGTGCACCACAGAGACCAAAAAACCTTGTGCCAACACATTCTTCTCGATAATTTTATTGAATGTAAATGTGTTAGATGATTTGAACTTTTTTTGAGTTTAACAATACCTTTGAAATAAATATTTATGCTGTATATTGTTAATATTTACTTTGAATTGCATGAATTGTACTCTGTAGTTGTAGCTTAAGAAAGAAATGTGAGTTACGTTGATTTTTTTAGCATCTGTTCTCCTCACTCAGATGTCTCCTGGGAACCAAGAATTAACTGATTCGAGTTTAGTGGTTTTTGGCCGTATCACCAGAATTCATTACATAGTTACAGCAAAATTTCTGCAATAAATACATAAAAATAAATATGTTTAAAATCTGTTAGCCACATTTTACCCTGGATCAACAGCCTGACGTTATCAAAGCTGTAATGTGCGCACTGTGTGTTACCTAAAATGTGTTTAACCATTCATCTTGTGTAACTGATGAGCAGGATCGTATGTAGAAGTATTTCTTTTCCAGCTCCATTTGAGTCTGAAGCTACACTTTCACCTCGATCAAAACTTTCACCAGTTTTAAGATGGAATAAGCTTCATGGTTGTTGTAAGGTTAAATAAACAAAGAAACTGGAAGCACAGCTGAACTTGGTGTATACAGACAAACATGAACAAGAATAAAAGAGTAATATATTATCATAATTAAAAACACCAAGTACATAGGGGCTAATCCTAATGTTAGCAGCTTTATCAATGGTATGGGTAAACAGTGGAATAGATGGAAATAATAGAGGTAGGTGAATATTATAGAAGGGGTGGGGGCGTCAAGGGTGGATCGATCCAAATATCGGTAGTATCGATACCAGCGCTGGTATTGGTATTGGAGCGATACTAGTGCGATAGCGTCGATACTTTGTTTCTCTCCTCTAAGTTCTGTGCGTTGCTCCCATTCACCAGAAAGAAGTCATGTCTGTGTAAACACTGCTCCTCTTTGGACACTTTGCTGTCCTGTGTTTAGTTGCCCTTGGGTCACGTGTCCTACCGGCACTAAACAGCTGTAAATACTAAAAACAGTGATACTGTATGTATTCGAAGAAAATTCTCTTCTGTGGCTACACCATCAACCATAAAAGACCATGAAAAAGCGCAAGAAATGAAGAGAGGAGGTAATGTGTATGTAAATTCCTCAAATTGACCCAGACAGACAGAGCTCGCTGTCACAGTCCTTTCAGAGAGGCAAAGAATATCCAGGTAGCTCACGTAGTGGTGAAGCTAATGTTAAATAATCCAGTTCATCAGCGCAACTTAACGTGGACGTGTTATTGTCCACCGTAATTGTTAGTGGTCATTGAATTATGTTCACGATGATTCATCTTCTAAATCATGACACATCACTCTCCACCATATATTATTTTTACTATAGTGCTTTGCACTTAAGGTAGATATTGCACAGGGATCAGCAGTTTTCTAGGTGTGAGTGTTGAGTAGCCTGATGGTCGATGGGAAGAAGCAGTTTTATGCTCTTTATGCTCCTGTACTTTCTTTCATAAGGCAGCGTGAAAGTCTCTCATCTATTCGTCGTTTATTCAATTAAATCCGGTTTTACTTATATAGCACCAATTTCTAACAAAAGTCACTTCATTGTGCTTCATATTGTGAGGTTAACACCCTGCATTATTAGAAAGAAACCCCAGCAATCACAAGGCCCCCTATCAGGAAGCACTTGACAAAAGTGGGGAGGGCAAACTCCCTGTTAACAGGAAGAAGTGTCCATCAGAAACAAGTAGGTGCAGCCATCTGCTCTGACTGGTGGAGGCGGGACGGGATGGGATCAGAGAGAGGCGGCTTATCAAAGGAATCTGCTTCTGAGTGCTTTGTAGCACGCTGATACTGCTCTCCTTATTAAAGTCTAGCCACAGCACGTATGCCACCTCTTCACTAACAAAGCAATAATGCTGGAGCCAAATCTAGAACCAGTTCCACAAAAAAGACTGGCTCCGGGACAACGTTTTTTGGCATCGTCTCTACTGATGTGGTTGCTCCAAGTAGTTGTTTAGCAAGAGGATGTCAAAGATGTTTCAGAAGCACAGCTCCTACAGTCCACAGCTTTGATAAATGGAACCAGAAGGAGGAACCACTAGCGGCTCTTTTTTATTTTTAAAACTTAAATTCATTTTTTATGAGGAATTTATTCCACACGTAAATCAGCTGTTGTGAGGAATGTTCATGTTCATGTTGCAAAAACATGCATCTGGCTGTAATTGCTGAGCTCTCAACCTCACGCTCCCATTGAAGGTATTAAACAGACGGCCTGTAGTTTTTATCAGATTTGACAGTGAGTCTAATGAAATTTAGACACACCGACACAGTAGGGCTTAACATTGCTCAGGTCTTTGTTATATTTGACATGACATAACCACTGGTTGCTAAGGAAATGTGCAATGCTAGACTGGTTGGCAGATTTCCCAGGTAATTCTCAGTAATTACTAGTTGTTGTTGTGGTAAAATCGACACAGTTCCCACCTTTAAAGTAAACGCTGCAGCTAACTTTTACTTTTAAAGGCACACGGTCTGCAGTTCTGCTTCTGCAGTTTAACTTTGAACAGTGTGAAAGTGCAGGTTTTCTGCAGGCAAACCCACAGAAAACCACGATCTGGGCCTTGAGGGTTAAACTAGGCTAGCCCATAGCAGGTTTGCCCTTTTGGGTTGGCAGTGGGTCTATCCACAGATCTCCCGCATGAACCCTGAGGAGGAACATTTGCTAGAATGATTGTCAAACGCCCAAAACCACAGACAAGTTATCATCACATATCAACTTGTGTCTACAAAATCTCAGTACATGCAGTTAAATCCTGGTACTTAGATTACAGTTTCAAATTACTTTTATATCTGTTCCTCCATTTAAAGGGTGGAGCTGCCCAAATAACTGCTGGGTGGAATTACCAAGGTCACTATAGAGTGGTGAGAGTTGCTTCAAGAAGGATTTTGATATATCTGTGCACTGTATATAAAGAATGCACATAGCTAGTATTGGGCCACACCTCAGGCTCAGCTTCTGAATCCGGTTTTCAGTCTCATTGAATTTCAGTCCTGTGGCATCAGCACATTAACTGTGCACCAGGAGCTTAATGATACGGGTTTCCAAGGCCGAGGAGCTTCTGTCGGTGTAATGTGTTTGTTGCCCAGGCCTTTTTTTATACGGTGTTGGCCTAAAAGTGAATCTATTCCACAATATGCATTTGTTTTAATTGCCAGCAGGGGGCGACTCCTGAGGTTCTTTGCTCTGTGACTTCACGTTCCTGATTACTTAATGGGCTAACTCAAAGTAGTTTGAAGTGATACTGAGTAAAACATCAAGTTGATTTAATAATTATGGTCATGATATGAGTCAGAAACCAGCATGTTATTCAGAAGCTCACACTCATGACCTCTCAAAACAAAAAGATGAAGGTGGCATAAACACTCGGCGCAGTAATGCAATGGTGTCGAATCTGTCTTTAGGTAAAGCCTGTAGACATGTCTGACTCTGTTTTGTGCATCATCTAACTATTCGGTTTTTACTGTGTTTCAGTCTGACGATGGGCCAGCTGTACGACAAGGAGAAGGACGAGGACGGCTTTCTGTACGTGGCCTACAGCGGAGAAAACACCTTTGGTTACAAGGCCTTTTATACAGCACAGGGTTAATGCATAACTGATTACTAGTTTCTCTCTCACACGCTTGCACACACACACACACAAAACCCCAAACACACCGACACATTAGGGCTTAACATATACTGGTGCATAGTGCTTCAGAAATCGGCCTTTACATGTGTTACACAGGTAACGCACCTACACATTTGGCACTCGCATTTCTGATCAGCTTTTGATACTTAAAACTGCTCATTTATGATGCGAGTTTGCTACAATAAACAAACTTTTTTCCCCAGATGCTTGGATGATGTAAAAAACAAACAAACAAACAAAAAAACGCTGAACTTTATCATGATCTCCGTTTCAAGGCCAGTTACTGAGAGAATTATCTTTAACACTGCCGCGAATCTGAATAACAGTCATGTACATTAAAGCCACTTCAGATACCATTCATCATCCTGGCACTGTTAGTAAACACACACACACACGCATGCACAAACCAATCATTATGTGACACAGTCATGCTCCATTTTATTTGTTGTCACAGATATTTATGTTCAGTGGAAGTGAGAAAGAGACGCAGTAATCCTGTGACTAGAATTCTTTGTATTGCTCATCATATCATGTATGAAATGTTCACCACAAGACAAAAGATACTCGTTAGAAGGCCCAGGATAGGCTTGAAGGTTGATCATAAGCACGTGAATGTTAGCCGGCGCCACTCCTCAGGATGTTACCGAGACCGCCCCAGCCCGACGGTAGTCTGCACAGGATGTTGTGCTGGATAAACACGAATTCATTGAACTGCTTCAAAAAATCCAACACTTTACTTGAAGTTTTAAAATACCGTCAGAAAAAAAATTAACATATAAACAAAATACAATTAATGACAAAACAACCTTATACTTAATAAAACCTTAATGAATATTTCCTCAATTTAGAGACACAAACAACCGAAGCCTCGTTATTTATTATTATTAATTCACTGAACTTTTAAAGATGTAACATTTCTGTTCAAACCCATTAAGTTCTGAAATGTTCAGTGGGAGTTATTCTATGAATATTACACTGACAGCACTAATAAAATATTCCAACAGTCTTCTGATTCCCCCTGATTCATAATAACCTGTGAATGAGTTTAGCTAAATATAAATGATGTAA